TGTTTAGAACTGTTCATTTTTGTTGTAGTAGTCCATTTTTTCAGACATTATTTATTTATTTATTTATTTATAGTATTTGTATACTGCTTTTCTCACCCCGAGGGGGACTCAAAGCGGTTTACACATAAATAATGGCAAAATTCAATGCCAGTACAAATGATTACAATTATACACTACAATTAGACATAAATCAAGTTAAAAACAGTACATCCACAAGCAATAAAACAATCATTAAAACAATAAAACAGTCAAGGTAAAAAACATCAACTGGTTTCATAAAATAAAACTAGCCTTCTAACATGGAAAAGATATAAGGATGGGATAGAGCCAAAGATCCCTTTATGGCTGCGTCCTTTGGAAGCAATACTAAAGCCAACATATAATGAGGGATGAATAATGTATAGGGAATATCTAATGGAAGAAAAAGAACAATGGAAATCAAAAGGGAGAGAAGATCTAAAAATAAATGATTGGTTTAGGTATCATCAAGTACGGGGTAGATTTAGAAAAGATTTTAAAATTGGGTTCCCCAAAAGAAAATCGGAATTGGAGAATATTTTGGAGGGAAAAAAAAGGATTGATCTCTTGGTTATACAAATATATTCTAGAATATATCCTGGAAGATAACTGAATAAAAACCGTAATTATTTCCTGGGCTAGAGACGTAGGGAAAAATATAGATTTGGATAATAGGGAATACTTCTGGAATAAGGGATTTAAATTTTCAATATCAGACTCCATTAGAGGAAACATGTATAAAATGTTCTATAGAAGTTACATACCACCTGAATTAATGCCCAAAATTGATAAAACCCAACCGGGGGGGGGGGGGGGGGGGGAGGATGCTGGAGATGTAAAGTGCAGAAAGGCACCTTCTTCCCTGTTTGGTGGACGTGTAAGGAGGTAAAAAAATACAAAAAGGTGACAAAAGAAACTAAAAATAATTTCTAAAAAGATCAAGAAAAACCAGAAAGATGTCCGTTGGGCTTGTTTCAAGAGGGAGTTAATAAAGATGATGTAGAAATTTGCCAATATAGATTTGTGGCTACGTGAATTACAATAACAAAGTCTTGTAAGGGGGAAAAAGAACTACTCATTAAGGATTGGAGAAAAAAAATAGTTGAGTATATCCAAATGGCCAAGCTCTCCAATAGCTTAAGAAGAAGAATCAATGAAGAGTTTGTGAGACTTGCCTTTGGGTATTTAAAAAAGAAGACAAAAATAGATTTTGAAATAGCTGCATGATGAATTTATTAATGTAATGATAAGGATAGTTTTGTTAGATGCTAGTTCTATATGGCATGGTGTTGGAAGTAATGGGTGGTGGTTCATGGGTGGGAATGGGGAGGTGGTGGGACTGGGGAAATAATGTGTGTATATTGATAGTTGAATTTTGAAGATTGTATGCTTTTTTCTTTATATATCACAATAAAAATTGATACAAAAAAGGAAAATGATGCTATTGCTTTAGGAATAATATTTTTCTATAATGAAAAAATGTTATTCCTAATTATTTAGTAAATATTTAAATATGCCACAAAATAAAGCAGCCAGAAAGTTAGAGGGAGGGAAGTGTGGACAAATCTGTCATACCGACTGTTGAGGGGAGCACTGCAACATGGTATCTAGCCAGGATGCAGACAAGGGTGGATTCTCTTCTTTTTATTTCTCCTCTCCTGCCTGCCAGCCAACTAGACTGAAGCTCTTTCAAGGGACGAAGAAGCTCATGGGCTCTCTGCGTGTCTTGCTTTATCTCAGTAGATCCACAAATGGCTCTCCCCAGGAAGTCAGATAATGTTCTTTCTGTGAAAAGCAATTCAAGTGCCACTCCTTCTTTGACCTTGATTAATACTGAATTACATCTTTGGGTGCTCTCTGGGTGTCTTATCATCCCGAGTTTGATGAGACCCATTTTTGTGCATTTGTTCCCCTTCCACATTGGCTGGTGGGCTGTATTTCACTTTTGTGAGTGAGTACCCAATTTCATCCCAACTTCTCTGCATCTTGATTCAACCACTGAAAACTAGTATTCTTTGTCATTATATTGTATGAAAGAAACAAAAGGACTTTAGTGGCAAATTATTATAGATTTTCTCAGAGAATGCATGCAGGTGGCTAAAACCCAGGGGTGTAGTTAAAATCTGTTAAAATGCCTACCTGAATACATTTGCGGGAGTCCCATACAGTGCAACTCTTTGTCCATGCAGTAACCGGGATGTTGAATGTATGTATCACATTTTATTGTCCTGCAGTATTTACAGACAGGCTCAGCTACGTATTGTTTACCCACTAATGAAAACTTACCTGGTAGATCAGCCCAAGTTCATGTAAAATTTTAACTAGGTGATGGTTCCCCCCACATGACCTTGGCTGTTGCCAAGTTTCTCTCTGAGATAGCCAGGATCAGACAACTTCCTCTATTAAACTCAGGCTAATACTTGTATCTATTTGCAGTGTTCTTACCCTTGTTCATATGCACATTGTCCTACATTTAATTAGAATCATAGAATCAAAGAGTTGGAAGAGATCTCATGGGCCATCCAGTCCAACCCCCTGCCAAGAAGCAGGAATATTGCATTCAAATCACCCCTGACAGATGGCCATCCAGCCTCTGTTTAAAAGCTTCCAAAGAAGGAGCCTCCACCACACTCCGGGGCAGAGAGTTCCACTGCTGAACGGCTCTCACAGTCAGGAAGTTCTTCCTCATGTTCAGGTGGAATCTCCTCTCTTGTAGTATGAAGCCATTATTCCGTGTCCTAGTCTCCAGGGAAGCAGAAAACAAGCTTGCTCCCTCCTCCCTGTGGCTTCCTCTCACATATTTATACATGGCTATCATATCTCCTCTCAGCCTTCTCTTCTTCAGGCTAAACATGCCCAGCTCCTTAAGCCGCTCCTCATAGGGCTTGTTCTCCAGACCCTTGATCATTTTAGTCGCCCTCCTCTGCACACATTCCAGCTTGTCAATATCCCTCTTGAATTGTGGTGCCCAGAATTGGATTCCAGGTGTGGTCTGACCAAAGCGGAATAGAGGGGTAGCATTACTTCCCTAGATCTAGATACTATGCTCCTATTGGGGAAATTGGATCATCAACATCCCTCCTTTCCTTTAGAAGGAAATTAAAAACATGGATTTGGGACCAGGCGTTTGGGCAATCTGGCAGATAAATAAAGGACAACGACGACTGATAGGAATGGACAAAGTGGAATGAAGCTATGGACTCTGAGTTGGCGAACGTTGAGAATCAGATTGGTTTTATTGACTGTGATATATATTATTGTTTTTAACTGTTAATTGCTGTCTATATAGGTTTATTTGTATTGTGCAGGCATCGAATTGTGCCTTTTGTAAGCCGCCCTGAGTCCCCCCCTCGGGGGTTGAGAAGGGCGGGGTAGAAGTACACGAAATAAGTAAATAAATAAAATATTGATGCAGGCCAAAATCCCATTGGCTTTTTTTGCCACCACATCACATTGTTGGCTCATGTTTAACTTGTTGTCCACGAGAACTCCAAGATCTTTTTCACACGTACTGCTCTTGAGCCAGGCATTGTCCCCCATTCTGTATCTTTGCATTTAGTTTTTTGTGCCTAAGTGGAATTAATAGTCTTAGCATTTTATTAATCTGCTAGCAGTTGTGCACCTTTTGCTGTGCAGCAAATTGGGTCTTTGGAAACGATAAAGCAGGGGTCCTCAAACTTTTTAAACAGAGGGCCAGGTCACAGTCCTTCAAACTGTTGGAGGGCCAGATTATAATTTGAAAAAAACACGAATTCCTATGCACGCTGCACATATCTTATTTGTAGTGTAATAACACTTTAAAACAATACAATAATTAAAATGAGGAACAATGTTAAGAAATATAAACGTATTAGTATTTCAATGGGAAATGTGGGCCTGCTTTTGGCTGATGAGATAGGATTGTTGTTGTTACGTGCTTTCAAGTCATTTCAGACTTAAGTTGATCCTGAGTGAAGGCTGGGTAAATGACCTTGGAGGGCCGCATCCGGCCCCCGGGCCTTAGTTTGAGGACCCCTGCGATAAAGTGTTGTTGTTGCCTACCCATAGAAATAATTCCTTGGCAGCAAGTGACTCTGTGGTCCTAAAATGGTTGGATTCGGGTAGAAGGAAAAATGCCTTGATCATTATCTAAGAAAAGAACCTGTTGGCTGGCAATTTTATTGCTGTGAAAACACTTAAATTATCCTAATGACTTACTTGCGTGGATGTACATCTGAACCAATAAAATCTCACTCAGTGGATTTCTGTAATCTAGATTCTTTCCTGTTTAGGGCTTTCATCTTCCTTGCCATCTTAATCCATGCCTCCCCTTATTGAAATTCTCTAAACAAGTTTAACATGCCATGAACTCACAAAAACTGGAAGTTTGACAGCTATGGGTGATGTTGAATTTAATATATCTAAATTAAGCAGTGTGTGTGCAGAGGCTAAATGATTCCTAGGATTACAATTTAACGATTCCTGGGATTAGATTCCCAGACATCTTTTGTGAGATGTATCAAGTCTTTCATCTCTAGTAAAAACAAAATCTTGTGGCAGCTAAGAGATTTATTGTGGCATAAGCTTTTTGGGGGCTAGATCCTCTCCTGCTCCCGCTCCTGTGCATCTAGTTATGACCTACAGTAGCTAATGCATCCATAAATTTGACAGTCTGAATGGTACTGTACTATAAGACTCTTCATTTCTTGTGCTAAAACAGATTAATACACCTACTCATCTGGAATTTATTTCCAGTAACATTATTTTTGATGTAAATATCCATTTAAATGATATACTTGTCTTCTTTTGTAGTGGTCTAGGGATTTTGTGAAATTGTTTTGATCAGTTTAGAAGCAGCGTTAACGTTTATTGTTCAATGCTTCACTGTGATTCTGTCCCAATTTCTGATTAATCTCTAGGCTGTGTAATGCCTGGTTTTACCTTGACTGTACAAAATCAATTAGTACCAGTCTATTAATTCTCTCGCCATTTATATCTTTAAGGTTTGTGCCATCTGATGAGAAGAAAAAGCAAGGCTGTCAGCGAGAAAATGAGACCTTAATACAGAGAAGGAAAGACCAAATGCAGCCTGGTGGAACTACAGTCAGTGTTACAGTACCGTATCGTGTGGTTGATCAGCCTCTAAAGCTTTTGCCTCAAGATTGGTAAGCTCTGTTGCTTTTAACTACTCATTCCTCAACCAATACGTAAAATCAGCATAGCTGCGTAATATATCTTCTGAATTAATTTATAAGTTCTGGTTAGTTTAATATAACAAATAAAATTCATCTGGGTCTCTCAATAATGGTCATCAGTTTTATGGCATTTGTATGATTTTACATACAAGTTGCAATGTTTATTATTGGATCTAGAGGTAGCTAGCAGCCATTAATCTGAGTATTCTCACTGCTGACAACAGGGGTAAAATGGCAACTGGAGCTTGCCACCATCTGCCCTAATGCATTTTAAATAAGGATTTATAAGCCTCTCATTCACTGTCTCACTTATAAGGTTTATAAGTTCCTATTAAAAGTGGCATAGGGTTGCAGCAGAGCAAGTGGCTGCTCCTCCCAGTCTCCAACCTCTGCCTTGTGAAAAAATCCTTGATACCTTAAAGGCAGAAGCAGGTGACTGGCATGCTCCCTGCTGCAAATACAAATGTAAAGTGTACAGTGGGTTGAATCTGCAAGTTGGATATTGCGGGTCCACTGTATTCATAACTAGAAATATCAATTTGGCTTTATGCTTTTTTTATTGAGCTTGTGTCAGATGAACTGTGAACTTAATATTATTTAAAATGTTATTGACAATGATGGACTCAATTGCAAAGCAGTATATTTCACAATAGCAATATGTTACAATTACACAAAAAGTTGCAAACATTTTGATGAGTTATCATGTAATCAAGTTTTACTAATGATTTTGAACCAGAAACAAATTTAAAGAATTTACACACAGACATCCAGGTGTTAATACCTCTGGACACTGGTATATCTAGCAGTATCAGTATTCATATTAAAATTGGCTAGGCCATCCATTACAACCATAATGGGAAGTCTTGCTATTTAACATAGCCCAATTAAGAGCAGAGATACTTTTTTTGCTCTTACTAATGTAGTAATTAGTAAGATGAAGTTCTTTGGCCACATTATGAGAAGAAAGGAAAGCTTAGAGAAGACAATTATGATGGGGAAAATGGAAGGAAAAAGGAAGAGGGGCTGACCAAGGGCAAGATGGATGGATGGTATCCTTGAAATGACTGGATTGACCTTGAAGGAGCTGGGGGTGGTGACAGCCGACAGGGAGCTCTGGCGTGGGCTGGTTCATGAGGTCACGAAGAGTCGGAAACAACTGAACGAATGAACAACAAATGTAGTCATTATTTATCAACCAAGAGCTTTTGATTTGGCTTGCATAACAACCATATCTTTGTAGGAGATAGCTACTCAGCCAACTCCCATCTGTTTCCTCTCAGTTTGTGTTATATCTTTCCTAGCATGATCAGCTGACAGATCTTGTCCAATGAGATAGAAGATTCTTACTATATTGAGTGTATATAAATATATTTTTATTTTCAAATCAGTTTCTTAGAGGTGATTGCATCTTCATTTCAGGATTCATTATCAGTCAATTCATTGTTTATATGTTTCTTTATCTTGTTTGTAGTTGTATTAGTGTTATGCCTGGAAATAAGCTCTCAGTGACACACACACACACACACACGGGCGCATGCATACTTCCCTAATACATGGAGTTTTGTGCTTTTGTATTTTGTACTTTATAAACTTCCAGGTCTCAAAGTTGGCAACCTAAAATCCGATCAGTGTGCAGCCTTTATCAACTGGTTCACATTAGCATTGCCGTACGTTGGGAATTACTTGAAGGAATGCAATAACTATAACAACAACATCTGTATCACCTTTTGAAAGAAGCATGAAGAATATCCTTCTCCTTCCTTCCTTCTGTTTGTCTCTGCATCACATACAAAACTGATACTGGAGAGTTTCCCAGTCTTCCAGAACTAGTTTTGAAGACATACAGAAGGCTACAATGAGGATTGGTTGCTTATTCCCATTTCCATGAGAGTCGTCTTTTATGTTAGTGGAAATCCAGCATTATATCTTTCTGATGCTTTTTCCAAACAATCACCACTCAGGTCAACATAGACTGAAGTTACAGGCAGTCCACATGCTGCCTGTATGTGGACTGCCTGAAGAAACTACAAGAAAGACTTATATAAGCATGTTAAGTCATTAACCAAATTGGCATAGACTGAAGTTACAGGCAGTCCACATGCTGCCTGTATGTGGACTGCCTGAAGAAACCACAAGGAAGACTTATATAAGCCTGCTAAGTCATTAACCAAATTGGCATACACATAGCTATCTTCTGAGTGGTGGAGAAAACAACGTTATTATGAAATATGTTTGAAGCTAAATTTTTTCATGATGGTAGCATTTATTTATTTATTTCCTATATTTATACCTCACCCTTCTCCCCCCGAATATATGTTTCTATATTCTTTATAGTGTGCATATGCATATGAGGAATTCAGTGCTTTCCCTTTTTTGTCTTTTAGGGACCGTGTTGTGGCTGTTTTTGTTCAGGGTCCTGCTTGGCAATTCAAGGGCTGGCCATGGTTGCTTCCTGATGGATCACCTGTTGATATTTTTGCAAAAAGTGAGCTTTTTATTTAGTGCCAATTTTCTATCATTTTTTTTTTTTGAAAATGCATTATTTATATAGTATTGTAGTTGTGACTATGAAACCCCTAACACCTAACCGTGGTTGGTTGTAGAATGGAAAGTTCAGTTGATCAAGAAACCAATGTGTTTACAATCCAGCTTCTGTAAGGAAATGTTGTATTGTCAGTTTCATTTATAGTGAAATCTGAAACAAAAGTAGGCTGTAGGTCAGAGAAGGTAAAATTTGTGGCTCTTCATAAGTTGTTAAACGACAGCTCTACTTCGCCAACCACATCTGGAGACAAATACAAAGACTGAGAGTGAAGAAACCATAAGAAAGACTTAAGGAAATGTACTGGAAGCTTTAACTGTTACGTTTATACCTAACTTTTGAGTCAAGATTGTTTCACCATTCAAGATGGCATGCCAAAGAAATTTATAATATCAAAGACTATGGAAATGAAGGAGTGAAGATTCAAAGGACGAATTCATTCATCCACACACAGCCTGTGCATATTATAGTTTATTTAAGCCATGAATTTTAGTTTAGGGTTAGGTGCAGGCACACAGAGCCTCTGTCATACCTTTGCAGGCATGACTTATGTTAATCTCTTGCAGATAAGCTTCCATAATTTATTTCGTACTACAGTGTGTTAGAATATGCTGCTCATACCACATTCCTATAAAGCTAAAGTACAGAGAAGAGGCAATTTAAAGTCCAGCTGAAGCAAGTGTATGACAATGCTGAACCCTTCCTATCCTCCACGATTTTTCTGTTTTGTGAGATTGTAAATAATCACTTGCCAGCAGGAGGGCAGGGTATTCTTATAATCCATTGTAATACATGGTTCTTTTTAAAAAAAAAACAATTAGCGTTTTTACCATTTACCTTTTTTTCTCATGAATCAGATGCAGGCTGCGTATTGTTTCCCCATCACAGGCATGTCAATTTTCCTTCCCCTCCAAACTTCAGACTTCTGTTTCAGTATTACTAACCTGGGTATAATGTATTTCAAGTTGACTTGTCATTTGTGATGCCCAAGTGAAGCAGTGAAAAGGAAAAATGTATGTGGAAAATGTGAGGCTCAAGAGAAGAAATACCTGTTTTCTAAATTCTTTAGTATTAGGGCCCAAATTCTGTTGCGATACTGAACTTGTACACCAATCCATTTAGTCATGGAACAAGTGATTTCCAAAGTTGATCTACCCAGACGACTTGGAAGGTTGGAAGTGAGACATTGGAGAATTAAACTGGAAGTTTCCTTCTTTTGTCAGTACAACAGCTATGACTTTTTCTGCCGTGCCACCGCAGCACCTATTTAATGAACCAACAGAAGTCTGGACAAAATGTGAGCTGGTGTTATGAACCAGAAGGCTTAACAGAGCCAAACACAAGGGTAACGGTCCAACAAAGTTTATTAAAGTAACAAAAAAGGCTTAGAAACACTTAACTCAGTGTTACTAGCAAAACTGAAAGTCTGTAGCAAAAAGCCAAGCAAAAAGCCACAACTTGGAATATGATCCAGATTATACTGGGATATAATCTGGGATAACAAAAAGTATCAGCAAACTGCTTCAAAAACACAGAGTCCAATCAACATCAATAAACAAGGTAGGAGCAAGCAAAAACGTAGTCTAGAAATAGTCCAAGGTCAAGGCACATCCAGAAGAAACTGTAGCAGTCCAAAGCGCGAAGTCGTCGTCCCAAAAACAATCCGAAGTCAGCAGGAAGATAGCAGTCAGCACTTACAGGATTCCAGAAGGTAGAAGCARYGAAACACAGCGATCTGCAGTCCCAGGACCCAAGYCAAGASTAATGGCAGCAACAAAGTCCCAAGCCCAYTACAACACTTTGCCTACTGCAAAGTTCCAATAGTTTGATACCTTACTTTTATCCTATAACTCCTCATCAGAGGWMGAGCTGGACTCCACCCTGTCTTCATCACTCTCAGGTGCCTTTGCTTCCACAGCTGCTTGCCACCGCCCATCCCTCCAGCTCTTCCAGCGTCTATCAAGACTTAGATCACCCCATGTATTACCAGGTTGCCGTTCTCCAGAAAACCCTTCAAACTCATCACTTGATGTTGGTTGTGTACATATGTCTCTGATCTCCTGTACAAGGGTCCAATCTAGTCCATCCTCCTCTTCGTTACAACTCCCAGTCCCATCAGTCCCTGTGAACCCCATAAAATCCTCCTCCTCTGTCGGAGCATTACGTATTTCCCGGATACGTTTCCTTTCACATTCCTCATCTGACTCTTGCTCCCGAGTAGCCCGTTTCAAGCCTCTGCCCTCAACTCCCTCCTCCTCCATTTCAGAACCTGAGAAACCTTCAAATGATTCAGAATCTGTAGGTGTCATGAATATCTCCCTAATTCACTTCCTTTGCTGCTCTTGATCCAGCACCTGAGCAGCCCTCTTTCCCCTCCTACTACCAGTTGTATCTTGCTCAACACACTCTACTGCAACAGCTGGACCTATATTATAAATGGTTAACAAGTAAGAGTTAAGTAAATATTCTGGGAATTGTAGAATTAATTGTTTATATCAGAAGGATTCTGATATAGGTCAAGCCTTATCTGTTTATTTTTGCCTTTATATTACCTATTTTGTCCCAGTGTTCATCATAAAGCTCAAGAGGAAACACTTCTAAGCACAAGCAAGGTTTGAGGAATAACAAATAGATACTTTTAGATCTTAGTATTCAATCTAGAGTCAATATGTGATTCCTGACCTTCGAACATGCACAAAAGTCAAAAGTTATCCCATGCAAGTTGACAATCTTCCCAGAATAGAGATTAGTGAGATGGTTACAGTAGATTGAAATTTATAAAAAGAAAAAAAAGAAAGCTGCCTGCAGTTAAATTCAAGAAAAATTCTAAATGTATCATGCAAATCCTGGATTAGACTCCATCTAGAGTACATCAAACTGTCTCTCAATATCACTTCATGCAGGATAAAATCCCCTCAAATGTCACTTGGACAAAGCTTAAAATGGCTTTAGCCTCTGTTTTACAATCCATAGCTCTTGACCTCTTGTGAAATAATTTGTTTATTTGTGAATTGTATACCAGTTGCTTCCAAAGAGAATAATTTCTTTTATCCCTTCATTTCAGAAATGCCTGTGAGGAAGTAAGCATTCTAAATGGGAACTTTTGTATTTTGGCATTTTAACCAACATGAATATTTTATCTGAATGCCATTTTAAAGGTCTTCTTGCGATCACATGTTAATGCAAATCTATTGAACTTGAAGGTCACTTTTAGTGAATTGATTCATGTTCAATACTTTTTACTCCTAACTCAAAGGATGTGTTTGACATTCATAGATTTCTTTTTAAATGCATATACCATTGATAGATAGAGTTCCTGTGCTTTCTTTAAAAGAAAAAAATGGTGTAACACGGTGTAAGATTAATATTTTTATTAGAAATGCTTGAGTTGTCCTTTCTGCATAGAAATGATGTAGCCAACAGACTGAAATCTTGTTGATGCAGAAAGATGCTCAATGGATGAAACTCCACCTGTAGGCATTTTAGTAAATCTGCTTTCAATCCTGTGCGTTCTGATTCTTCGTTGTGATATGTGTGATGTGTAAACTAAGGGAAGGCAACTTGCAGGCCCCTAAATGTTGTTGCACTGAAACTTTTACCATCCATAGTTGACATAATGAGTGGTTGGGTTGGCTGCCAATTCCATATCCCTGGCATAAACTGTAAATGTAAATAGCAAAGAATTCTCATGATTAGATTTTAATACTGAGATTCAGTTCCATAGGAATGTGGCATTGCAAGTCTGTCTCTCACAAGCATCTCGTGTGGTGAAGACCAATGTCACAGAGAGAATATTTGCAAGGACTCCTCCCATGTGTTTCTTGGTTTATGTTGCCTTCCCGCACATCAAGCACCATATGAAATGATCACTTGAATCAGGAGATCTATAAGTTTAGCACTATTATGTTCTCACTACTTTGTGGATCCCAATAACAGAAGAGAAAACTTTTGGCATCAGCCACAGATTGGCTGGTAACATATTGGGCCTATGTCTCATTATCTCAGCTTAGAAACTGGGACCTCCTTGAGATTCCTTCTTTTCAGGGCATATTTAAACACAGCAATTTATTGTTAAACAAGAACTTGGATGAACAGAAATAGGCTATCAGACACATTCCATGACAACATTGCCCTCTGATCCAGGATAATCGTACAATTCACCTTGCTGTAAATGTGTCTTACCCACTGCTTAGTAGAGTAATGCTGTGTTTTTCACTTCTGTAACTTACTTGACCTCTACAGTGCTTATGAAGTTAATGCTTTTAGCCTCAGGAAAAAATGGTTTAAAGAGTCGCATAAACCTTGCCACAGTCTTTTCTAATTGGTAGTGTTCAGGGCCATTGGGTGTATGCAGTTTTCCTCTCTGGATACTCTGAAGCATTCAAACAATATCTGTTATCCAAAAAGATGTAACTGGCTAGCAACAAGCATTAGGAATGTATGCTGCCCTAATCCTTTGGGAAAGGTGAGATAAAAAAAATCAGAGTTGTGGTGATTGATTCCATGGTTCAGTTTATCAATTTAAGAACTTAATAAACTAAAAAAGTGTTCCAGATTAATTGGGTAGCAGATTTTATATTATTTTAGTTATAAAAGAACTGTCGATGGTAGTCCCCACATTAAAAGAGACATCAGCCTTTTATGCCGTGGTCTGAAGGAATACTTCCTTCCAGACTTACATACACTTCCAATATTTAAAAAGATGTGTTTCCTGATATAGAAATATTATTTAGAAGTCTCATTAGGCTGGAGTGTCTTTAGAACCCAAATAATTATGTTGACCTACAGTTAGTTTACTACCATACATTGGTTGTTTTCTTCTCCTGCCAACTTGGAGTTTTGAGAGAATGTTCTTCTCTCCCCTCCATTCCTGCTTTGAATCCCCTTAGAAAAAAATCATGTAAGATTGATTGACACGTCCAAGGGATTGCCCAGTGGACATATGAGTGAGAATTTGAACTTGGGCCTCTTTGATGTACAGGTAAACCTCTGCCCACTATGTAATCCTAACTTTGGGATCATGCAGTGGGTAGGAACACCAACAAGTTCACTGTTGGGCTTATGTGGATATTCCTTGTTTGTGAAGAACTAGAAATTTCACACTGAGAATCTATAAGATATTTCTTTATTCTCACATTGGAAATATTGCCATGGTCAGAGGTTTCCCACACCTCATAAAGTGAAGCCTCATGCCTGGCTGCATGCCCTGAGTTATCCCTTCCATTCTGGAATTTCATGAATGACATATAATAATAATTAGATTTTCGTTTGTCTTTGTCTGAACCACAATAATTGGAAGTATATTTCTTATTTTAAGCATGGTAGTTTAATAGTTCTGTCCTCTCTTCCATCTTTTATAGTTAAAGCTTTCCATCTTAAATACGATGAAGTTCGTCTAGATCCAAATGTCCAGAAATGGGATGTAACACTGTTAGAACTCAGTTATCACAAACGGCACTTGGACAGACCAGTTTTCCTGCGTTTCTGGGAAACATTGGACAGGTAACTATCAAACTGGAGAGATGGGAGGATCAGCATTATATTTGCATCTTGCAGGAAACTTTGCTGCTGAAAGGCCCCAAAACATGTAGTAGTCAATGTGTAAATAAGCCAGTGTTTTCAAAAAAGTATTAGACTACAGAGTTCTTCTTTTATGGTTGCAAGCTATGTCTTCATAAGATCTATACAAGACTACCTTTAATTTTTGGCTTCTCTCCCCTACAGTGTTAATATTATTGAGAAGGTACATATAGCAAAGCAGTTGCCATTTTGTTCTAAATTCATGTGTAAAATCCCATGCTCTGGCAAATGAGCAGACAGCTGTAGATCTCTGTATGCATTTTTGTGACATTATAGCCCAAGCATGGGCAAACCTTTTTGCCCTGGGGTCACCTTGTGGGCCCGGCCATAAGGGTTGGTCCTGGAGGGGGTGTGGGCGGGGCCGGAATGGCTGGGGTGGGATGGGAGGAGGAGACACATGGGACTTAGGAGAGTGTTCTCATCAGTGCCAGATTTCTCCCCTAGTTCTCCTCTGAGTCTGGAGAAAACAGGCCGCTTTCCCCAGACTCAGAAAAGAAGGAGAAATGGCAGTGGCAAAAGGGCTCTCACCAGCACCACGTTTCTTCCTCTGGTTCTCCTCTGAGTCTGGGAAAGGTACAGCTACATGTCTCTGTCTCAGCACTCCTCTCAGCCTGGGGACACGGTGAGCCACTGTATCTGCATGCTGAGAGGAGAGCCAAGTAGATGTAGGCTGAAGGGAAAAGTCCAACGACCTGGGCATTCACATAATAAATGTGTAAGAGTGGTCTTTTACACACACACACACACACACACACACACAGTCCAAATATCTCTGCTGAGACATGGTGATTTTCAGAATATTACCCTAGAACAGGGTGTCAAACTCATTTTCATTCAAGGCCACATCAGCCTTATGGTTGCTTTCAAAGGGCCATTGAATCCATGCATGGAGAATCCACTCATATGGAGCAGTAACTATGTTTTGTTTTGTTTCGTTTTGTTTTTTAATGTAATGGTTGATATTTATTTATTTATTTATTTATTTATTTATTTATTTACTTCTATACCGCTATTCTCAGCCCGAAGGCGGCTCACAGTGGTTCACAACACACAGGAAACAGCAAAGTTCAATACACCAATATAAAAACAGTTAACAACCTAATCAATACACAGTTAGTACACAAATTACTATAATAATCAATCACTAGCATCTCATCACTAAAAATACGATCCAGATTCGTCATCCATTGTGCCATTCCTATGTCATTACCAATCATTGCACTAATTATTCGAACGCCTGCTGAAATAACCAGGTCTTTACTTTTTTGCGGAATACCATTAGAGATGGTGCTAATCTAATGTCTGTGGGAAGGGCGTTCCACAGCCGGGGAGCCACCACCGAGAAGGCCCTGTCTCTCGTCCCCGCCAGCCGTGCTTGTGAAGCTGGCGGGATCGAGAGCAGGGCCTCCCCGGAAGATCTCAAAGTCCTGGTGGGTTCATAGGCCGAGATGCGGTCGGAAAGGTAGCTTGGGCCGGAACCGTTTAGGGCTTTAAAGGTCAACGCCAGCACTTTGAATTGAGCCCGGTAGCAAATCGGTAGCCAGTGGAGTTGGCGCAACAGGGGGGTTGTATGCTCCCTGCGTTCCGCTCCTGTTAGAATCATGGCTGCCGAGCGTTGGACTAGTTGAAGCTTCCGAGCCGTCTTCAAAGGCAACCCCACGTAGAGAGCGTTGCAGTAGTCTAAACGGGATGTAACCAGAGCGTGGACTACCGTGGCCAAGTCAGACTTCCCAAGAATACTCTTTAGTTTTTACTTAGTTTGGGTTCCCAGATCATATTGAACAACAACTCCCATCACTTTTGAATATCCACCATGTGGATAATGGGAATTGCAACCCAATAGCACTTGTGGCTCTGATGTTTGGGAAAGGTTAGAGGAGATTTTAAAGTCAGATTTGTATCCACAAGTCTTGTATCTAAATTCAGATGTTACTATGTCATAACTCCCATCCACTATAGTCGTGATGTCTCATGATGAGGGATAAAGGAATTGTAGTTCAGCATCCTGAGGGTTTATAAAATGACGTTGCAGGCCAGATGTGGCCCATAGAACTTAAGTTTGACACATGTGCCCTAGAGTTATAACATTCAGTGCCTAGTGTAATAGTACTATTACTATCTTAGATCTGAAGGCTAATATACCACCCTTGTAGAATTTGTACGGATGACTACCCTATCATGCCTTTTTCTAAATCAGCCTGTCTACCTAGTTCTGCCTGAGAAACCTTGTTCCGTGTCCCCAATCTCATCTAAATTAAGGCAATCTTTTCTCTTGAAGCATCCGGCAACTCTCTTACTAGAAAAAAATCTGTCTGTTACCATGTATATTTTCCTTTAAGGACTAGTTAAAAACTATTTAATTTTTCAACAGTTTTTAATATTGCATTTCTCACATGTTGGATCTGTCACTGGATTTTTGTTCATTTACCGTATATTCTGGTATATAAGACTACTTTTCAAACCCAAGAAAATCTTCTCAAAAGTCAGGGGTCGTCTTATACGCAGGAGTAGTATTATATGTGGGAGTACTCTTATACACGGGAGTCGTCTTATAGAGCGGGTGCTGAAACTTCCAATCGGATTGGAGAATCTGTGCTTGCCGCATATGGTGGGGGAAGCACAAAAATGGCAATGGCCGTACCCCTGCCATATGCAGCAACTGTATGAAAGCATTAAGGGCGATGCTGTACAAGTATGGTAGAAGAAAATCCATTCATCAGGATTCGTGGACTTAATGCGGTCCTGATGGTGACGTGAAGGGGCGCCTCACCGGGAACGTGTAAGTGAAGGGCGGAGCAAGCTGCAGGCATCCGGGGCGCCCGGGGTATGGAAAAAAGAGATGGAGTGGCTCTGGGCCCAGAAAAACACACCTCTTTTACCTGTCTGGCCCGCCCTTGTATCCTATTACCATGCCTCCTCTGCCTCTCAGATCTTGCTCCTGAAGACTGCAGTGAAGTGGTGCAGGTGCGCATGTGCGAGATCTGAGAGGCAGAGAAGGAGGTACAGTAATAGGAAAATTTACCATATTGAAATCAAATCTGATGCTTTTTAAATTTTTATTTGGTGTGCGTTGGAAGAGGGGTAGTCTTATATGGTGAATATATACCAAACTCTATATTTTAACTGGAAAAGTTAGGGTTCGTCTTATACGCCCAGTCATCTTATATGCCGGAATATACGGTACCGTAATTTATAAGCCACTGTGACAACAACTAACTGTAACTTTAGCTGAAGAATACTAGTACATATTAAATAACTATTCCATTTCAAGCAATCTTTCGTTCATGTTCATCTGTCCTCTTTTAAGGGGTTTTTCCAGACTGTCACTCAGAGTTAAATAGTTAAAAACCTTTATTTACAGTATTTCTATATTTATTTATTTATTTATAGTATTTCTATACCGCTTTTCTCACCCCTAGGGGGACTCAAAGCGGTTAATGTTAAAATATTATTTTGTGACAAGGTTTATTTCACATACCACTGTTTGTTATAGAGAGAGGGAATAATAATAATAACAATTAGTATTATTATTTTATATTGTACCCACCTCTCCTTGTGGCTCGAGGCAGGTTACAAAATAGCTAAAAACACATAATTATTATATAAAATAGACATATTAAAACTTATTTCTACAAAATACTTATATTAAAATAGAACAAAGATTAAAATGTAAGTTTAAAATTCAATTCTAGAGTAAACAATATCTGGCTGGAAAAAAATGAAATAAAATGTTGAGAGATGCCTTGAGTTTTATATGAGGAGAAAGGCAGGGTAATAACCAAACAAAAATGTTTGTGCATGATTTCAGTACTTCCTTTAGTTTGTTGACTTGTATTATTCATATCGCTTTTTCCTGTATGGAGATGTATGCCTGAATTAGCAGTTTACAACACAAAGCTACAATAATGTATTGTAGCTTTGTGTAGTGTTAACTGGTGCTCCTTACAGAGAGAGGTCAACCCTCCTGTTCAAGGAGCTCCACTGGCTGCCGTTTATCTTCCGAGCCCAATTTAAGGTGCAGGTGCTTACCTACAAAGCCCTAAACGGTTTGGGACCATCCTACCTGCGTGACCGCATCTCCATTTATGAACCCACGCGTTCACTTTGTTCATCCGGAGAGGCCCTGCTCGTGATTCCACCTGCGTCACAGGCGCGTTTGGTGGGGATGCGTGACAGGGCCTTTTCTGTAGTGGCCCCCTGACTCTGGAACACCCTCCCCAAAGATCTTACAGGCCCCTACATTGGCAGTCTTTAGAAAGAACTTGAAGACCTGGCTCTTCCGATGTGCCTTTCCAGAATAGGAATCTCCAATAAGTCCCAGAAGCACTTTATTAGAACTAAGATTGCTGCACACCGCACACTGCACTTGCCCTATAATCCCTACATATCACCTGTCACATCAGCACTTCCTTGTAACCTTGTACCCATTACTCTGGCCCGGCCCAGTTTATTGTGCCTTGGTGTATTGTTTATTGCTTGTTGTGTAATATTGCTTCAACTGTTTTTAATTTGCCTTAGGTGTTGTATTGTTACGTTGTGTTTTGAGGCCTTGGCCTTTGTAAGCCACATCGAGTCCTTCGGGGGATGCTGGCAGGGTACAAATAAAGATAATAATAATAATAATAATAATAATAATAATAATAATAATAATAATAATAATAATGTGTTTTCTTTTACCTTTGCATTACAGGTACATGGTGAAGCACAAATCTCATTTGAGGTTCTGAATTCTTGAGTGCCATTTTGTTTTCTCAAACTTTGGATAGAAGACTTTGAAAACTATTTTGGTCTAGAGAGGAATGGTCTCCCAATTCATGTGTGTCAAGAACATTACACAGACAAAGTTCAGTCTTGTTGAATCACCATCTTGCAATGACAGACCGACAAGCCGTCATCGCTACAAGCAAAGGATTTTGCTTAAAACTATTTTTTATTAACATACGCCTTCTAGCCTGCAATTCAAATTGTATATTTTGATAGCAGCCATTTCTTCCCTGTTTTGTTAAATTAGAAACATTTTTACAATAACATTTTTGTTCTTCAATAGAATCTAGGCTGGTTTTCATGGAAGGTAATGAATGTGCGTGTGTATGTATATATAGAGATAGATGTTCTATACCATTTCTCTTCTGAGCATAGTTCTTGGTTCTTTCTTTATTGTTTCACTTGTTGGGGGGGGGGGGAACCTTTCTTTTGATTATTATCTCCATTCTAAAGAACTCTAGGAACTGAGCAAAATGAAGACTACTCTAGATGAATCAAATTGTTAAGCTGTATATGTACTGTATATTCTTTCAGTCTTTTGAAAAGGGATGAAGTGGGTGATCCAAAATTGCTTCTTCTGTTAGGATGATAGTTTAACAACACTGTTAAAAAGAGCCATTATGAATAGGTTTGAAGTATAACATGCTCTGTGCTAATGGTTTAATTTAAAATTGTGTGTGCATATGACCCCACATTGAGGATTGTATGGAACTCTGTATACACTAGAATATCATCTGGGTTTTTAAAGTCAGAATTGACAGAATGCAATTGTAAAATTGCTTTTTCGAATCCTGATAGGTATGGATCTTTTTCTTTTTAGAGTTTGTGTTCTTATATTAGCTTGGCAGTAAGAGGACCAGAGCTAACATGAGAAGAGAGGTGCATTTTCTTCCCCAACCCTCAAACCAAGTCAACATTAGTCCTGATTTCTGTGTTTAATCTTAGTAGAGGGAGGAGATGCAGCATGGGAACTCTTTCCTTGGGTGCTACAGAAATGGTTGGTATCCAACACTGCCAAGGTAACATAAGAACTCACTCTCGAGTGTATAGGAAACCCAAACTCACTCAAATTCCAGTTATGACTGGTTAGGTCTGTTTTTCGGCATTCCCGTGGGATAGGAAGCTTTTGGCACCAAAGAACATATTTACTTGACAGGGAATGAGCATAAGAGAGACAGGAAAATGCTGGCGTTTCTGTGAGTTTGTATTTTTATACTGTTGCAGCTAAGTGCTGCATATCATTGTATAAACAAAATGACCCTAAAATGTTCACTTTGTTAATGCATTTTTTTGAGCTAAAGAAACTGCTTATTTCTGTTTCAAATCCAGAACCATGTTTTTATGCTGAGCATCTGAGCTCTTACAGAAGTAAAATATTCCGCATAGCCTTCCTTAGTTCTGCTTTTATTTCTTTTCTACCCGATTCTTTGTGTAACATTGGCTAATGAAATATGAAGGCTTTTCTTACTCTCTCCCTCTTACGATGCTATTGAGGTTTAAATAATTTTCAGGATACTTCAGATTCTTTTCATATTCATTTCTAATATATATGGAGACTGTGATTTCTATTTTGTTGTAGTTGGAGCAAGAATCAATTTTTCAGCCTTTGAGTGCTTTTCTTTTTTAACGTGATGTTAAAAATTCAAAATGGTAGTATTTTTTGAAAGAATATCACAATAGGCCTAGATAGACGAACTAAATCAGAAATGGAATGTGTTTTTAAAATAAAAGGGGTTTCGGATATCTCTCTTCACGCTGACTGTGTCCCAGCACTTTTATTTAGCACTATGAAGAACCAGAGCTGCTTTCATTCTTAAATGGTGGGGTATGGTTAATTATTGGCTTGCATACTGTCCATTTTCTTTTACTATTTGAAAGTTTTAAAAATTTCAGACCTTCAGTTTCTAACAGTACCAAATTTGTGTAATATAAATTACTCTAAAAAGAATTGTGATATTTTTTTAAAGTCTAGCTTTTCTAGAGCTTTGTGGGAATTTCAGCAAGTGTGTTAATTCTGTATGATCAAACAAGACTTCTATAACAAAGTTGGATTAATGTGGTATGCAGTTTACTTCCCCTGACCTGTCCTACAGTGGTATGGGTCATAGAATCAAAGAGTTGGAAGAGACCTCATGGGCCATCCAGTTCAACCCCCTGCCAAGAAGCAGGAATATTGCATTCAAATCACCCCTGACAGATGGCCATCCAGCCTCTGTTTAAAAGCTTCCAAAGAGGAGCCTCCACCACACTCCGGGGCAGAGAGTTCCACTGCTGAACGGCTCTCACAGTCAGGAAGTTCTTCCTCATGTTCAGATGGAATCTCCTTTCTTGTAGTTTGAAGCCATTGTTCTGCGTCCTAGTCTCCAGGGAAGCAGAAAAACAAGCTTGCTCCCTCCTCCCTGTGACTTCCTCTCACATATTTATACATGGCTATCATATCTCCTCTCAGCCTTCTCTTCTTCAGGCTAAACATGCCCAGCTCCTTAAGCCGCTCCTCATAGGGCTTGTTCTACAGACCCTTGATCATTTTAGTCGCCCTCCTCTGGACACATTCCAGCTTGTCAATATAGGCCTGTTTGATCAAGAAAAAATTTGTTTCTAAAATCGATTTGTAATTGGGGTGTTTTTTTGTTTCGATATTTAAAATAATTACAAAACTTTCCAAAAAAAAGTTTTGGTATTTAAGAAATTTTGTAAATATTAACAAATTTTTAGAATATTTTTGGTATTTTAAGAATAATATTAAAATAATATTAAAAAATATTTTAAAATGGAAAATTAACCAAAAAATGGCCCAAATGTGGACCAAACACAGGCAGGAGACAGCAAATGAGAGCACACACCAACAGAAGAGTCTTTTCTTTTTTAGAATATTTTTTAAGAATAATATTAAAATAATATTAAAAAATATTAAAATAATATTAAAAAATAATATTAAAATAATATTAAAAAATATTTTAAAATGGAAAATTAACCAAAAAATGACCAAACACAGGCAGGATACAGCAAATGAGAGCACACACCAACAGAAGAGTCTTTTCTTTTTTAGAATATTTTTTAAGAATAATATTAAAAAATAATATTAAAAATATTTTAAAATGGAAAATTAACCAAAAAATGGCCCAAATGTGGACCAAACACAGGCAAGAGACAGCAAATGAAGCAAGCAGCACTCACAGCAGCAAGGAATGAATCCAATCCCAGTTGCTAGCAGGCAGCCATTGCCAAGCCAACCCAATGCAAACTCCCTCGCCCTCTGCAGCAAGCTACGGGCCGCGCGGAGCCGCTTTGAAAGGGCTCGCCGGCCAATCAAAAAGAGACAGCCACGGACCCATGGTGCACTGCTTGGGAGCGCCGGATTGGCTCCCATGCACCAGCACTCCAGCAGCCTCCACCCCATTAACGAAACGAGCGGAGGCTCGTTAAAACTATGGGGGCTGCTGGTTCGATATTTAAAAACCCTTCCGGGTTTGGAAATATGTTTCAATATCGCTTCGGAAATGGTAAAAATAACGAATTAATAACGAATTAACGAATTAACGAACGAAACCGCATGCATTCCAGCTTGTCAATATCTATTTTGATCTGTGGTGCCAAGAATTGGACACAATATTCCAGATGTGGTCTAACCAAAGCAGAATAGAGGGGTAGCATTACTTCCTTAGATCTAGACACTATGCTCCTATTGATGCAGGCCAAAATCCCATTGGCTTTTTTGCCGCCACATCACATTGTTGGCTCATGTTTAACTTGTTGTCCACGAGGACGCCAAGATCTTTTTCACACATACTGCTCTCGAGCCAGGCGTCACCCATTCTGTATCTTTGCATTTCATTTTTCATTTTCATTTGAAGCATAGCTAAGCTAAGCATAGCTCAGAAGTTGCAAGAAATAACTTTCTAGATCATCACCTCCCTGATATTCATCTTGTTAGTCCAAATGTGTGCAGATTAGTGTATTTTCTTGTTCATTTTGTGTACCTTCATGTCATTCCAAACTTATTTTTAACATTTTTATGAAAGAGAACAGAAATATAAAAGAGGAAGAACATTACCATCTCCACAGAAACAAATTAAAAGAAATGTTTTTTCTTGATATGTAATACTAAACTACAGCTAGCTATTCTATCCTAACCTATACAACCCTCCCTCCTAGACACATACTAAACATATAACAACAAGAACTATTCTACAAGTTTCACACTCATGCCTATTGATTCTACTCCTTACTGTCTACTCTTAAAATATTGTTATACAATGGGGTGGGGAGCATTTAGTCAGATACCAGTTATACAAGTTCTCCCACTTAAAAAGATGAGAGAGGCCTGTAATTAATTGACAGCATAGGTAGACCTCAACTATGAGTGAACACATGAGAAAACATATCCAGAAAATCACATTGTTTGATTTTTTATCGAATTTATAATTTTTTATCGAGTTTGCTCAAGATCACATAGTGGTTTCTTTCTTTCTTTTTTGTCGTATCAGGAGCGACTTGAGAAACTGCAAGTCGCTTCTGGTGTGAGAGAATTGGCTGTCTGCTATGACATTGCCCAGGAGACGCCTGGATGATTTGATGCTTTTATCATCCTTGTGGGAGGCTTCTCTCATGTCCCCGTATGAGGAGCTGGAACTGTTAGAGGGAGCTCATCCGCCTCTCCCCAGATCCGAACCTGTGACCTGTCGGTCTTCAGTCCTGCCGGCACAGGGGTTTAACCCACTGCGCCACCGGGGGCGTCCATAGTGGTTTCTATGGCTAAGTAAATAGCCCAACACTCAAACCACTGCAGTACCCTACCAGCCGCATCTATGAAGATATCCTATGAGTTCTAAGGGTGGGGAATGCAACAATAAGGGAAAGGAGAATGAAGGAACCCAGCAGTATATTCAACGATCTCTGGTTTATTTTAACATCAGCCACAGTTTCTATTCACTTCTGATGCACACATAGAATACAACAGGCATAGATACCAACTACTCTCTGTTTTTGCTATTCTCTAATAGACAAAGTGGGCAAGATTTTGAATTATGTAATCATTATTTTTAAGCCAATTGTTGTTCCAAAAACGTATAGG